CAGCCGCGCCTGCCGGCTTGTTTGTCTAAGGGGTGGGCCGCGCTCTGCCCTGCCGAGTACATCTCACTCTTTCCCGGCGGATATGGGGACTTTATTTGGCAGCCTTTTCAGGCTCCAAGTCCGCAAGAACACTGTCATGAGGAAAGGCTGCGTTTACCTCACAGATCTTCAGAAACGCAATCCGTGCAGTTGTTTCAAAGTGTCCCCTAACACTCTGGCTTCTCTTCAGACCGTATAAAGCCTTCGCTTCTTACAGCGCGCAGAAGGTCTACCGGATGAAAGACACCAACACGAGCCTTGTACGCACACCTTTATTTGCAGTTCTCTAGACAGCAGGGAGAACACAGCACTACGGACACACGGACGAAGCACCACACTTGACAACTGCAGACTTAGAGCCTGAATGTGCTCGCTTGTGCTGGCTTTTATCCAGCACAAGGGGCATCTAGAGGAAACCCGCTCCCAGGCGCTGCTGGAATGCGGTGAATTATTAACCCACGCTAAGGAAGCGAAGGCCAGGCCGCCCGCCGCTCGGCCGGTCCCACCCGCACCCGTGCCCCCCTCCTCTGCGACTGGCTGCTTCCCCTGAGACCTTTGCAGATCCAACAAGGAAAATTAGTGGAAAACTGCAATGTTCGGCTTCATTACAGTTAAAAGGTTTGTCCATTTCAAAGTAAATTTTAAAAAAAGTTAATAACTAAATACAATATGTTCAATGTCATGAGCTAATTTTGTGCAACACTGTTAGAACAATTTAAATTTTCCAAGAATGCAAAAATGGTCAATGTTACTCCAGGACTTCAGAAACATACATAACTAGAAATCATAAATACATTATACAGATCCACATTTGAAGAAAAATTTACCAGTTTTTAGAAAAAAATTATGGCTTTAGTGATTTAGAGAAGCTAAACTTTTTTTTAACACAGTAACAATCAGATGTCTGAAAAACGCATGAAATGTACCGACCTACCAAGCACTGAAGACCAGCACATGCCAGTTTCAACTTTAAACATCTCCTTTCAAACATTTTAAGCAATATTACTATACCAAAAAAGTCACCTCCAGACATTTTATGCATTCACTAATACCCATTTAGTTATTTGTAGTTAGATCAAATTACAAAAAAGAAAACACACATTTTGGAGATATTTTACATCATACTTTTCAGTTTTGGATCTACTGACAAATCCACTGAACTCCAGGGCAATTTGTTCAGTTGGGGTAACACAATGGATTACAACTTACGACACTACTTTCCTGTTTGTTCTCTTTTACGGTAACACATCCTTAAAAATATTTTAAAAGGATATCCACAGGAAGTTCTGGGTTGTGCCCTTTAGCTTGATTAAGAAGGGGTCAGTGGTGGGTGGTCCAAGATGCCCCGGCTGATCATGCTTTCTGGGGTGTCCTCCTGGCTCCTAACTCAGGCTAACCACCATGTCACTGGCTTCATGACTGGGGCTGCTCCATAATTCTTGCCCATGTTTGGAAATGACAAAGAAGAGATGGAGAAACGGCAGGAAGAGGAGGTAGTACAGGACAAGGAAGAGAGGGTGGCCTGGCCCCCAGTACCTGGAGGAATGGGTGCCACAGCTGACTGGAACAGTTCTGGTGGGGGACATAAGGCAGCTCTGAAAGGAGCACAGCTAGGAGAAGGTGGCCTGAGAACAACTGGCAGCGCACTGTCCTGGACAGAGGCCACAGCGGCACACAGGCCCTGCCATGCCCACATGCTCGCGAGTGCGCGCGCACATGGCCACGCTGCCTGGCCCATCCACGTACTTGGGGTGCACGTGTGTGTCCCCATACACACTGGTGCACCCATGCCTATGGCCTGTCCACACCTGCCCCGAGGTCTCTGACCAGGGAGGGTGGCGGCCAGCTCACCTGTGGCTCTGCTCTGCAGGGCATGAGTGTGAGGACAGTGACCTGCAGCTTTGGTCATCCTGCCTAGCTGCTGCTACCTCATAGCTTGTGCACAGAGCTCAGGCTCCTGGGACGGGGACTGCACCGTCACTGGGGCCTGTCCATCACCACAGCAGCACTGGCAAACAAAGGGCACTTCTGCTGGCCCAGGCTCCACGGCCCAGGAGGGAAGTACGCAAGGGCCAGGAGCCCAAGCGGCCCTGATAGACCCTTGCACGTGGGGGTGGAGGCTGCCTAGGGAAGCCAAGCACCCCTGCCGTAGCTGGGTCGCTTGCACCTTTTGCAGGCCACCAGGGGGCGCTGGGAGCTGCTTTCCATTTTACTCTAAGCAGTTGTCCTGAGACTGACATCTCGGAGGGCTTCTGCAAAGGGTGAGCGCGAGCTCGTGTGAGGGGGCTCTCAGCAGTGCTGCAGCTCCTTTCTCCGGGTCACCCGAAGGGGTTTTTTCCTACTCTCAGGGCACTCCAGCAACTGTCTCCCTGCTGCCTCTGCCACGGGGTGGGGTGGGCTCTCCTGATGGGCACTCTCAGCATTACTGCCCCTTGTGCGCTAATTCTCGGGTACCCTCTGAGCTGAAGGTATCACAGAGCCAGTCACCCAACTGACACAAATCTCTTGGAGTTTCAATACTGAGGGAAGAATTCTGAGGCTCCACTTGGGGGCAACCTCCCCTATGCATCTTTTCACAGCTGGTCTCCCTTGGCAGCCTTGCAAGGGGTGAGTGGAGCCTGTGTCAAGGGCAGAGGGCGGCAAGGTATTGGGCAGGGAGGGAAGGAGGTGAAGAGCTGCGGCTCAGTGCGGAGGGCCTGGGTGGAACCACCGCACCACTGCAGGAAAGTCTTCTCCTGTTAGAGAGGCCTAAGCACTTACATGAAGAAGCTGTCACTGAGAAGAGGGAGGAGCAGGCGTGTATGCAAGGGTGGCCAGCACGAGAGCTGGATGCCTTTGGCCAGGCAGGCAGTGGGTGAGGAGAAGGGGAGGTGTGGAGAGCAGCACCAAGGCTGGGCTGTGACTGGGTGGGAGTGGGCAACAGAGCAAGGCAGCAGGCCTCAGCTGGGCCAAGGTCCCCACAGTGCCTGGGCTTGAGGGCATCCTCAGCAAGCAGAACAGTCAGTGATTAGGCCCAGGGGTTATGGGGTGGAAGGTATCTTGTCATCACTAGACATTTTTGGGCAACTCGGAGAAGCTCATTCTGGCCCCTAACTTGGGTTCTGGGGAGGCCCTGGGGGGGCCAGGCAGGGACAGAACTAGAAATCAGGAGGCCCAAAGGCAGACAGAGGAGGTGCAACACCACAGGTGCCTCAGGACCTGGCTTGCAGGCAATGAGGAACAGGGCTGTGAAGACTCCGGGCACTATGGTGCGACCTCAGAAAGGGGAACAGATTCAGACAGCAGCAGTCATGGTGCACAGGGCAAGCTGGGGTGTGCTGCAGGTTGGCAGGCTAGGTGGACAGGCCCCACCACTGGTCTCGGAAGGCCACAATGACCGCTAGGGTGAGGGAGGCATCTTAACTGGTTAGTGCTTTGTGGTGACACTGCAAACTGATTTAAGTGTGAGAAGGGAAAGGAGCGGAACATGACGTAAGAATAAACCAATGAACGTCCACACACAGGCCCAGTGGGCCTTGCACAGAGCATGCGCCTGGGTCAGGAGCAGTTAGAAAGGTTCTGGCTGCATACTGCTGTGGCTTTGGGGCTCAGGATCCGCAGGAAGAAGCAAGTGCTGCCCCCGGGCCCCCATTGAGGCCAACTTAGCTGGAGCTCCCTTCTCTGGGACCTGAGGGCTGGAAGAGAGACTCTAGACAGAAAAGGAACCTGAAAAATCAGTTGTCTAATCTTTTCATCTTTTTAAAGGAGACTAAGGGTCAAATAAGTTAGCTGACAGCATTTATCACTGACTGGAAACCGTTGGACTTCCATTAAACAATATCACACATATTTTAATATCATTTTTATAGGCCATCTAACAGTTAAATTATATAAACCTATGGTTGTAATTTAGAGCTAGAATTTCTAATGGAAGCTAATGAAGTGATTTTGCACAACCTGAAAGAGTTATTGTAAAAGATTCCTAGTTAAATGGAGAGTGCGCTTGTTTAGAATTTCAGAATGAAAATATAGAATCGGATTGCTTCTCAGTCTTTCAGCTAAGATCAAGTGAAAATATAGAATCTGGGTTGGTCGGAGGGTGGTGATGAGGGTTGGGATTCAGCAAAAAAAAGAACAAAGATATATTATGTCCAAGTACAATTTTTCTATGATGAATGTGATCATTATGTATATTTGAAATATACCAATAAAATTAATTAAAAAGAATCTGGATCCTATTGAACCAAATCCTCTGTAAAATTCAACCTTCTTATAGCTCTTAAATAAATTTTAAAGTATTTCTAACATGATGTTTCTTAAAGTAGCTAGTGGTATCTTGAAATACTTATAGATATTTCTGAATCTTAAAAAACTGAATTATAATTAAATATTTATTATACACCTTCTTTGCATAATTTATAGTACAATCCAAGTTTCAAGATCTGAAATACAAATATTCTGATAATTCTTTCTAGATAATGACTGAAATTAATTATAAATTAAGAAGAAAGAAAACCTGTTAAGGTTGAAAATATGTGCTGCAGTAATCAGACCTAGGAACTAAAATAAGTTACTGCACAGAGCACTGCCTCCAGAGCGCTGTCCGACCAGGGGAGTCCAACATGCACATCAGTGGGTCACACCCCCACAATACCGACCCCGTCGCAGAGGTCGCAGCTAACTTCACCCCTGGATGTGCAGTGTTCTGCGGCATCCACACGACTTCCCAGCGCCTGCTACTTCTGCAGGTGGATCTGTGGCTATTTGCATACAAGCCAGCTAAAACTGCGATCGACCGAATCGCAAACAGAAAAGAGAAGCTTACTGCTGTAGTACTTCCTAAGAGTATCGCTGGCACTCCCGGAGGAGGTACGCGGCCGTCTAAGACACTCAGTAAGCCACGCCGCGAGAGGACGCCTATGCCGCACTGCAGGATCTCTACCTCACAGGGACACAAATGAGGAAGTTTCGGGACAAGTTACTTTAATATTGCCAGTTTATTTCTTTGATCCAGTTTGACAGTACCAACATAACTGATTCCTGATACGCAGCCAGTGGCCATTTTTCTTTTCATTCTTCTGCTCTGTGCAGAGGTTCTTTGTCGGTGCCTTCCTAACAGGAGCTCACACGTATATTATATATGGAGATTATGGTTCTATACTACTTCAGTGCAGTGCTAAGGATTTAAAATAACGCTGGCAGCTGAAAAGGCATTTTCTTCCCTCCTGGTCTTTCTCTTCCTCCCTCCCTTCTCACCATTCAGCCGTATGTAAACTCAGAACACCGGATTGAGCAGGGGTGAGCGTCGCTCTCAACGTAACGGACCCATCTCTCTAATCCAGAAGAGGAATGCATTCTAGGGGGATTTCCGGTTACTCTCTCATTTGAGAGCTAATCAGGACTTCTGCTTTAAGAAGGTATTTTCAGGAGCTCACTGGAAATGATGGTTCTTTTCCAGGCAGTCAACACACTGTCCATCCACACCCGCCTGTCAGCCCTCAGACCCGTGCGATGAAGCCCAGGCCCAGGCTGGCAGGAATCTGGATGGTCTCCAGGGCAAGGGAGGAGGGGTTGAAAGGGAAGGTGACAGGGAAGATGTGCTTAGCATCCATTAGCAGCTGAGGAGAGTCCTTCCTGTCCCGTAAACGCATCTGAGAAGATGAAAAAATGATAAACGGCATGAGTTTTTCAAATCTGCAAGACTTTCTGCCAGAATTTTTACCAAAATATCAACTAATGAGACATTTATCTTTATTTTAACATCACTTCATTTCCTCAGTAAGTTATTACCAAGTAAGTTAATGTACAGTGACTAGGGTGACAGATGAGGAGAACTCATCACCCCTCACTAACAGCATCACATCTCCACTCAGAAGCGCGTGCTGAGTGAACGCGATGGACCCCACCTGAGATCCTACTCGGGCTGAGGCAGGAGGCTCACAAAAAGTCGAAGCCAGCCTGCACACCTGAGCAAGACTCCTCTCAGAATAAAGCCAATTTAAAAAGGGCGTAGGGCTGGACGCAATCCCCGCTGCTGCCAGGGACACGCGACAGCGCTGCCGGGAGTTCCAGGGACAGTGAGCGCGAGCACTCGCCTGGAGCACACTCACCTGTATAGTGCGGATAAACGACACAGAGACTCTCTCTTCAAACTCGTTAACTGGAGTGTACAGATTCAACACCTTGACGATCTGTGGGAGAAGAATGATCAGGGTCGTCCTGGGTCGTCCAAGACACGGTGGGACTTGGACCCTGGGACGCAATGGTGTGTGCAGCTCCCCGCCCTGCTGGGGGGCGGCTCAGGGCACGGGCGTGGCGGCACATCTGCCCCGTACCGCGTCTCCGCCAGACGCCACTGCAGAGCACGTGCACAATACTTTAAGAAGCAATATGAGTTAGGAAAGCCATTCAGGCAGTGCAGAGACTACCACGAGCCTTCAGCCTATGCATGAGCGCCATGCTGGGAGGGCTGCTCCGCGCAGGGAGAGTCGCATCTGCTCCTCAGCTAACAAGGTGAGTCTTACAGAGTACACCTGTGGGAGTTCCCGGCGCGAATGTGCCCAAGTCGGGGACTCACTGCACGACGTGAAAAGCAGAGGAGCCTGCTCTGTCCTGCCTGACTCCCAGGGCAGCACCTGTCAACCATGTCCTCAGAGTCTGTTTGGGGCTGTGCTCCGGCTCAGGCCATTTCCATATAAATAAGGCTCACTTTATTATTAATACTATTCAGGGGAAAGCAATGTTAAAATGCTATTTTGAAACTTGCTTTGCTCATATAAAATATATCCAGTCATATTAAAAATAACAGAATTATATTTTGTTTTGAACGTCTTTTTAAAATCATACTTTTACAAAAGGTAAATTATTATAAATGACATGAATAACAAAAAAGGCCCTCAAAAATTAACCAGTTAATCAGAGGGCAAGACAATCTTTTAAGAAATAAAATGAATTTCTTTGGTTTAATTGGCACGTGTCTCTTCTGAGGAGAAAAACCAATTCACGAGGAGCGGTTGAATGATCATACCGATCTAAGACGACGACTGTGAACCAGAAGGCGGACCTACTCCTAATCCCCCCTGCAGAAGAGGAGAAAATGGAACCCAGCCAGGAGGTGCTAACCCAGAACACTATACTAAGCATCCGCTTCAGAACAGATGGGCGGTCTAGTTTTTTAAAAATGATAAAAGTAAAACTTGGCAAGCAAACTTCGACTGGTCTGGAAGCTTGATACTGTTGAAGGCGTTCGGGCTCTATGCAACTATATTCAGATGTCCAGTAATTTAATGCCTGGCTGCGACTACTTACTTTTTAAGGATGGTATTGAACCCATGTGGGAAGATGAGAAAATAAATGGGGAGGATGATGGCTAATCACACTGAACCAACAGCAGAGGCCAGGTGATCTGGGCTGCTTTTGGCTACAAACACTGCTGTGCCTTCCTGGAGAAGCGTCTGGTGACTACTGCGATGATGTGTGTGCAGCTGTTGCTAATGTTAGAGCTACAGGTGAGAAGACAGCAATATGGACTGCAGGACGTGGAAACAGAGAGGCTGTTCAACATCCAGGGAGGGAGAGTACACAAGGAGAGGTCAGGACTTCCTCCAAGATAGTGATCGGTTATGAGGTCCATGCTGGCACAGCTAAGAGCGGCTCCGCCCTAAAAACAGGTTTGTTGTTTGAGAAGACACCTTCTGAGTATTCTCATAGGAGACTGCGTCAGGCACTTGGGATTTGGGAGCTGAACCAAAGCCTCTTCAAAAGCAGAGTGGACTGCATTTAAACTTGATTCCAGCTAAATGTTGCTAAGATATAAGAGAAGTCTCATTTTTTTTTTGCCCCTAGAGTATCCACTATCCCAATCAAAGTATTACAGTACACATCATCCCCAGAATCCACAAATGTGTTCCTGCTTTGCTCTGTAATAGTTTAGTATAATTACCACGACAAATACATTTTACCCATTCGCAATGTTCAAAAAAGAGCTTGCATTTCTCTTAACAGGAAAATAATGTTCTGTTTTGCTGTATGGAGGAGCATATTTGCTGGTCTGAAAAAAGCATGATGCATGCAGTTTTCTAGTAATTTTCTTTGTTTATTTTTACAGCATTATCTTTGCTGTACCTTGGCTGGTGGCTGCTAGGTTTTAATTTATTTATTTCCCTACTTGATAACATTAATGATTCTGGTTTCAGCTTTTCATTTGTTTTGCTTTTGTTTTTTCCTTATGTAACACTGGTAAAGGATCCAGGAATGTAACACAAGGGTGGAATAAACCCTAATTTTGTGCAGTCTTTGGTATTTTTTTTTAATAACTACAAAGTTATGCTGCACATTTATGCATTTCATTTAAATAAGGGATCTATGTTTGTGTGATTGCCTACACACAATTGTGGATTATAAAAAATGTAACATCATAATTACATTCCTAACTAGAAACAGTATGTTTGCTTTTGTATCTTTAAGCTGTATTTTAATACTTTGTATTGCTTAGGTTATTTTGCTTTGGTTAAAAATGGCTCAAGTAGAAAAGCGGTCCTATTCATATTGACAGTGTACAAAACTGTAAATAAAATGTGTACAGTGAATTGTCTTTTAGAGCAAAAAAAAAAAAAAAAAATTCTCCCACCCCCAGAGGCTGAGGCTGGAGGATTGCTTCAAGTTTGAGGCCAGCCTGGACTACAGCGTGAGCTCAAGGTCAGCCTGAGCTGCATAGTGAGACCTTGCCTCAAAGACAGACAGACAAACAAAACCCCCAAGCCAACAAACACTGTCTCTATAAGGTAGAAAGAGATTTCATTTTCAAGGTACTATCTAACGTTGTTCCACCCAATACTCTAGAGGTCACTAGCCAATTTTAATTGAAGTATGTGACTACCTAAATTAATGGTATTACTAAAAATACAACACTGAGTGAATGGAGGGCAAAGCCAATGTACGGCACACCCTGGAGAGATGGAATGAGAAAGTAGGCCAGCATCTCGAGCCAGTAAGTGACAAACTGACAGGGGGCAGCTCCTCAGAGGCCACTTGCTAAGTATGTGAATTACAGACCTACCTCACTCTATGAAACACGAGTATGCTCAAAAAGTTCAGAGAATGTGTAAATTAAAAAATAATTACAGTAGAAGACACATTATCATTAATCCCTCAAAATCGCCCCCTCACCTCCAACACACTCATCTCATTGCTTTTGCCCCTTCTGAAGCTGTTCTGAAAGTCCTAGTTGAGCTGGGGTGGCTGCTCTGATACCCTGAATCAATTCAAAATGCTGACCTTTGTGGTCATTCTGACTTTGGGAGGAGCCACAAGTTGTGCGGTACCTGACCAGTAACAGGAGAGGACACATGTGGGTGTCCTGGGAGCTGCCTGTCTGTCGGATGGCACTCAGCAGCCCCCCCCGCCCCCCGTTCTGATCCCATCTGGAGAGCTCAGGAAAGAGAGCTGCAGAGGTGCTTCAGAAGGGGGCAGGGAGGACAGACAGGCCAGGGGTGTCAGAGCAAGGGGGAGGATTCTAAGGGGACTCACAGAAATTTATCTTTTACCGTAAGCAAGTTTTACAACTTAAGACATTCACTGTATATTTTGATTGCCCCTTTTACATGCTTAAGGCAGCTGAGCATACTGGGGTATGCTCTTTAAAGCTTGGATGTTCTATAGGGTCAGGTTTTTCCCAGGGTGCTCATGCTTGCCACAGTTGGCACGAAGGGGAAAGTTCTCGGGACCATTTTTTAGCAGTGCGATTCTCCACTATTCTTACATAAGTAAGATGCTAACTATTTACTGACTGAGTTTAAGTATGCTGGTCACAAGTTGAGATTCTGGTTATAAGTGATGACAGAAAGCAACTTGAGGAGTCAACGTAGAAAATAACCAAGCAGCAGAGCGACGAGCATATTTGTGCTGAGGTCTCACCCTGCTGGGCTGTCCTCCCACTATTCCCTGAATTCCACGCTCAGCTTGGTGCCAGCTGTCCCCCTCAGCACTCTGGCTGGTTCTCTGGCTCGAGAATGGGTCAGAATCTCTCTACAGAGCCTTCCAGATACATGTCTGTTTTCCCTACTCAACTGGAAGCTCCTTGAAGGCAGAGATTTTTTCAGACTATTTACTGAACATTGTCCCCAGCAACAAGCTTGGCACCTGGAGACGGACTCCCAGTCAATCATTTCCAGAACTGAAGGAACACAAATTACGTCTTAGAAGACAGGGGCTGGGGAGATAGCTCAGCAGCGTAAGTGCTTGTCTGGCAAGCACAATGGCCGGAGTTTGATCCCCAGTACCGAGGGGAAAAAAAGGTTCTCTATATTTTAGAAGACAAAAGTCTTAAGGAATCATTCCATTATCAAATAATATGGAAAAGGAGACTGGAGAACATAAGCACCATGGACTCTCCAGCCAGGAAAACGGGGACCCCTTCATCTACGGTTTTCCCTGGCCGAGAGTCGGGCACAACACTGCCTGCCTACTAACTACAGATCTCCGTGACGTGCGCTAGCTTGAACTCATTTCTGGTAAAATCTCTTTCACTCAGGACCTATGCAGACATGTCTTCTCTGTCACACACAGAGGAAGGCTGGTCGCCATAGACCTCCTGACCCCTCTGGCGCCGGGCTGGTGGTGACACACTTCCCAGCGGGCAGGTGCCTTACCTGGGCGGTGGTGAGAGCATTGCACATGGAGCAAATGGCTTCCGCATCATCGTCTGTCTTCTTCTTCACCTGCAGAAGCTGAGCGGCCTGGATGAGTGGCTCGAGGGTTTCTTTGGCCCCACTGTTCATCAGATTCTTGTCACGGAGCCATTCTTCCAGTTGACTGACATTGTATCTGTGACAGTGACAGAGACACATGGGGTGGGAGGCAGAGAGTGTGGATGTGGTGAGCAGTGTCACACATGTCCTCGCTCGTGTGAGTGGCCTTGTCAGTTAAATTGACAGGCAGTATTTTTCAATTTTTTTGAGTCTAATCAGCTGTGCTTAAAAATTTGTCATTATAAATAGTCATGAGGCTTATAATTGCAATTATGTAAGATTAACTGCCAGGAAAATTTAATAGGAGGTGAAAAGAATTCCTTTCAGCAGAAGTTAAGGCCTGCTGTCAACGCAACAGACCATACATCATGGCTCCGTCCTTCTGGGCAGCTGACAGACACGAGTGCCAGCTTTCCTTACACTTTGGGGTGAGAGCTCTGCAACCCTTTATCCTCTCTTTAAAGCACAGCCTGAGTGACTGTTCTAATTCGCTTTATGCGTCAGCTTGCTGGATTAAGAGACCTGGAAAAGGGCTGGGGAGATGGCTCAGTAGAATAAACGCTTGCCTGGCAAGCGCAAGGGCCTGAGTTCAATCCCTGGTTCCACCAAAAAAAAAAGAAAAGAGAGAGACCTGGAAAGGTGGCTGAGTTAGTGGTGCTGTGCTTATCCTCATGGGTAGCCTGTGTCCTACCTGCATATCTGGTGACAGTGACAGTAGGTCTGGGTGGTGGAAAAGAAGATTGGAGAATACAGTGCGCTTCTCTTAAAATACAGGCCTCACCCTATGCAAGGCCTCAGCAAGTCCCTGGCTCAGAACGGGAAATGTTAAAGAATAGTGTCCTGAAAGTGAGCGCAAACACTGGCAGGACACCCCTCCCTTCCACTCTGAACATTCTAGGGATCATTTTTTTTGACACAGGGTCTCACCATGTAGTCTATGTTCACCTTAAACTCACTGTAATCTTCCTCCCAAAGTGCTGGGATTAAAGGGGGTGTGAAACCACACCCAGTTTAAGAAATAGTTTTATTTATTTGATACAGGGTCTCACTTCGCAGTTCAGACTTGTAGGGATCTGCCTATCTCAGCCTCCCCAGTACTGGGATTATAGGCATGCACCACCACGCTCGGGGGTTCTGGGGCCAGCACCATATGTGGGTCTGGGGATCAAACCCAGGTCCTTGTTTTTGCTAGGCAGGTGCTTAAGATTGCCAAGCTATCTCCCCAGCCCAATAATTCATGACTTTAAAAGCAGGTATGTGGCAAATGCTTATAATCCCAGTACTTTGGGAGGCTAAGGCAAAGAAATTCTCTTTTGGGGGTGTTTTTAAAGTAAATATTTGCCCAAAAACCCCAGCCCTATTATAATGAGGTTATGCTAAAGGGTAGCTGGGTACACAGTTGAATACACTTCTCTTAAAATATAGCAGGGGCACACGTACGTGATTGGGCCTGTCCCCCTTTTCCTAGGTACAAGCAGATGCTTTGCCTAAGTACGTCTCCAAGGGCCACGGCCTACTGCAGGTCCCCTGCCCTGAGCCGCCGTCCCACTCTCCGGCCACACACGCAGGAGGGACGGCCGTGGCCTCTGCGCACCTGGCGCCTGCCAGGCCGCGGCACAGCGCGCTAGCCCACCTGATCTGCATGCCTTTACTCCAGGAGCACATGTCCTTCCGCAGGAGGAGGTTGTTGAGCGTGATGGCCCCCACGATGTAGAACATCTGCCGGACCACCTGCTTGATGAGCTCCGGGTCCATGCCGTGCTGGCACATGACCGAGTGGAAGGAGTTGAGCTGCCGCAGGATGGAGTCGAGCGTGTAGGTACCCTCATCGGCGATGCTGGAGGTGCGCTTCCGCAGGCCAGTCGGCTTCACCCCGGACACACCCTGGATCGTCTCGTGCTCCAGCATGCCTGAGACTGGGGAGGAGCCGTTACGAGACCGTGAGGAAGCCTGTCCACAGCACACACGCAGCCAGGAAGGCCTTGAGTGCCAAGAGGGGAAGGGCTTCGCTGAAAGGAGCTCTGGGTTTAAACTTCAATGAATTAATTCTTAACAAGAGATTTATATGACATCACACACTCTTCCACCAGCTGTGTTTTCTGACACTGGAGCCAGTGGCTCTGATAGCACAAACATGGTGTCGTGGGTAAGTCCTGGAGAGGTGTCAGAGTGAAGGAGGCTCACTCCACACGTGGCCCCAGGACAGGCAGATGAGCAGGAAAGAAGGGCAGGTGTGGCACCCGGAAGCACAAAGCCACACTCGGAGGAGGAACGAACGCTCAGCCGCTCCCCACCCTGGGCTCCCCAGCCCTGGCTGCCCAGCGCACCCACTGTGCCTCCGTGTGTTGCACCCAGGAACACTGAGGTCATAGCCCAAGCTGGTACGTTTTTATATCTGCTGCGGTAACCCCAGCTTCGCCGGACCTCAAAAGACACAGAGTGCAGCTGCTGGGCAGGCCAACAGCAGGGGATGGAAGGACACCCAAGAGCCACACTGCTGCTTCGCCCGGGAGATCCAGCGAGACGGGGCAAAAGCAGAGGAAGGACCGGCCTGAGCTGACTTCCCTGGCCTCCATGTTAGCTCCTGTTCTTCGGTCAACCCAGGTAGCTCTAATTCCTGACCTTTAGGGGCAAGAGAAGAAACCACTGTCCTCTTGCAAGGATTCCTCACCTCCTGCGCCTCTAGCTGTCTATCAGGGTCCATGAAGAACGGACCTCTGCATGCCCTGAGGGGAAAGAAAGGCTAGCTAGCAACAGCTTTAGGAGCCTGCTAATAATCTGCCTAAAGATGTAAGAGATGGTAACTTGAAAAGGTTTTTTAAAAATTCAATGCATTCAAGTTAGTAGCCTGCAAAGTGCATATGGCTCCTGATTCCCAAAGAGGCCTGCTCCACAGGCCAAAGGAACAGTCAGCAGGCAGGAAGAGAAGGCCCAGGGTGAGTGCAAGCGTGGCCAGCTGCCGGGCTCAAACATTCAGCCGAGGGAATGCAAGGAGGAGTACATGTGCACATACGCGCACGCCATGCAGCAGGGGGAGGCTGCTGACAACTCAGCCTCCTCGGCTTCCCAGGGCCTCTCAGGAGCCCCACACAGTACCGCCCAACCCAGCGTTCAGAGTGCTGTTAGAAACTGGGCAGGGTATAAGCTGAACCCCATCTCAGAGGTGGGATCCTAGGGTCGCCAGCATGAGGAAGCAGTTTTCCATGCTGGGTAAACTAAGCACGGCTGGTTTGTCTCAGGCCTGTGTGAACAGGGCCCGGGGCCTTACCGATCATGGGCTGCAGGATGTTCTCCAGCACTCGCACGAGCTGCTGGTAGATCTGGATGGCCAGGTCACTCAGGACCTGCCGGTACTCGGCCAGGTCAAAGTTGGTGAGGCAGTGTTCATTCTGGCGGGATGTGTTGTGCTTCATGAAGCCCTGGAAAAACACAGGGAACACTGACGCTGACAAAAGCCCCTACCACACAGAAGGACACACTGCTGGGAATGCGCTCCAAAATGCGCGCCCCGGCGGCTGCCCACACGCTCGTCATTCTTGCCACGCTACAGCAGCTCTGGGGTCCTCTTCTGAGTGTCTAGTTGTGGTGTCCTAGCTGCTTGAGGTCCTGAATCGACCCAAAGTTTTCCTTTCACTTTGACTTTGGGAAGAGCCAAGAGTCACGAGGTGTCAGATCCGGTGAGTAAGTGGTGGAAGAAACACCACAATGTTTTTGACAACTGACACAACATGGCTGATCAACTAGGTATGATCAAAAATGATCGTGAATGCGTAACTAAAATGTATCATGGTAAAGGCACATTGCCATGAAGCCCCCCGACATTTTCTCCCTTCCTTTGAATACACTTAGCTCACTGTGTTGGCAGTGTCCTTTACTATAACAAGCTATGAATATTTAAACACGCACTACAGCTTCCAAGCACGCCCTGTGCAGCAGAGTCAGTCCCCTCTGTCCTGCCATCCCCGGGGTCAACTCCTCCCTCACGGGCTCGCACAGCGGCAGGACAGTGCTCCAGGGTTGCGACACTCCATCCGCGCCTGGCAGTCTCCTTCCCTCACTTTAAATCACAGACAAACTTGGCACACTGGTGCTCAAGCCTTTCTAATAGTAACGTCAACAAAACAAGCTGGGGAAATTTAAGAAAAAGTAAAAAGGAATGTTCCACTTAGGAAGCAGAAGAGCTGTGGCAAACACTACAGTGGCGCAAGGAGCACCTGCCATTTCGCTCCTTACGTACCCTCCGAGTCATGAACACTGCACCCACGGGCACGTACGATCTCCTTGGAAGAGACCACCCACTGCAGAGACGCTAAACGTACAGGAAGCCTCCTTCATCAGACTGCATGGCTACACTGGCATCCAGCCTCTGTCCAAGGTGAGCATGGCCCTCCCTCCGGGGGCGGGGTGCAGGTGGGCGCTGCCGCCAGGCCTCTGCGTCAGAACCACTGCTACTCGGCCCTGGCCGATGGGCGCAGCTGCTCACGCTCTGGATTCTGCCTTCAGTCAAGTATCTGCCTCCTCCATGCGCCCCAGCAAGACAGTCTGCAGCAGGGACTAAGAGGACAGGGCTGCCTGCCAGTTAATGCAGGGCCTTCCTGGGGATTCTGCTCTGCTCAGGAGCGGGGCTTGTCTCTGTGCTCCCCATCACCTCCAGGACAGCCCCCCTCGGGTGCCCACACGGGGGGCAGGTATGGCGGGGGGTGGGGTGGCGCCACAGGCCAAGTGCCACTCCCTGTACACAGGTGAGTTCAGGAGCCTCCCTGACCTTGGGCCTCCTGCTGGGCAAAACTGGGTTTTAATCCCTACTGTGCCAGGTCCTTACAAAATCACATAAATAACCTAATGTGTAGCGAGCTAGACACAACCCTTAACGAGCAGTAATTATTAGTATTTTCTAAAATGTTAAAATATATTGATGTGTGCAAGGGAGATTTTTGGACACACCAAGAGCCACGTGATCTTTACACTTGTCGCATCCTGGACCACGTCCACATACTGTGGGCAAGCCCTCAATGACTGTCTTCAAATCCTTAGACAGTCCAGTATGCTTCTTGGCAGCCTGCGTCACGTGCTGACACGAAGTCCCGTTTGTGGCAACGAGTCATGGCGTGACACTGCCCGTTTCAAAGCTGCTGTGCTTCCTGATATGCCGCGGAGGAGGAGCCGCCACACCCCTCAGTTCACCGCTCCGTAGGCAGGAACACCGGCAAACACTGAGCTTCCACGCCCTTTCTGCATGTGGGTTTTTAAATTAATACAAGGGTGTCCTCACGCCACTTCTGGGGACTGAAGCTGCTGTCTCAGCCTCGTGAGTAGGCGGGATTATACAGGCGTGCACCCCTGTACCCATCATTACACGACCAGAAACATTCGGGCTTTTATACTTTTCCTTAGGAAGGTCAGGGAAAGAGCAGCGTGCTGGTTCATAATCAAGGTTTTCTCACCTCTTCTCCACTGTACTGCTTCAAACAGTGTAAAAATCGGCATGTGTTAGAGAGCCAGAAGGAGACAGTTTCAAAATCGTCACCTCTTTTCTGAAAGAGAGAACAAGTCTAAGTTGGTCCTTTCTACAAGGAGATAGCAACCTGAAAAAACCCTGCACAGATGCCGGAAGGCCACTTCCCCCACTGTCGTCATCCTGCCACAGAAGTAACACCGGGCCGAGTCTCAGGCTTGCGTCACCGCAGACCTGGAGCTCCAAGTCGAGGGCTGGCACTGCTCCTGCCAGCAGCGAGAGCACCACAGCCAGCTGGTGCCACCAGGTGCCTTGGTGCAGAGCAGACTCAGCTCATCGGAACAGAAGCACGCAGCAGCCCCACCCTGCTCCAGGAGGACACGGAAGTCAGCATGAGACCAAGTTTCCTGACCCAGTACGACGAAGGCTCTGAGAGGGAGGTGAGAGGGCCGGACACCTCCCGGAGCGGCCCCTATGTGGAAGTTGCTGGCTCTTCACCAGCCTGGGCCATGGGCAAGGAGGGCTGACTGCACCCCAAGACAGGAACACAGATCCGCCAAGACACAGGTGGCCACAGGAGAAGCTAAGCTCCGTGCTTTCATACATACAGGTGCTTCACCTTACTTGGCTGTGCTCTGACCTCACGAACTTTCTCCCCACATGCTGCTGCACACCCTAATGACTCTACTACCCCACAGCAGAACCTGGGCTGGGGAAGCTGCCCGAGAGCCCGCGTGCACCCCTTGTAGTGGGTGGTTCTGTGCAGTAAAGTGTCCAGGAGCAGGGCGCACACAGCAACAGATTGCTGCTGAAGGTCATTTGTCTAGATCGGTAAACTTTCCCATGTTAAGTAGCACAAAACAAACTAAAACCTTTAAATTTGGGAGCGTATTTTTCTATAAAGACTTTAGGAAGCCCCAGAGGATGAAAAATCTAATTTAGTCTTTTTAGCTGAGACAAGAGAGCTGAGTTGAAGGTCTCACTTCATCACAAGGGGAGTCATCCTATAGTCAGTCTGAAAGCAAGTTTGCCTAAAAATAATCCTACCCCTTGCAAAGATCTGGATTGTAATTGTCCCCAGGAGAGACCGAGCCACACCAACAAAGGCCACAGGGCAGATTCAAAGGCAATGCTGGCCACAGGCTGGCTGGGGACAGGGTCACTGAGGTGCTTGGTAGAGAACCCTTGGGGCAGCCTCAACAGGAAGTGCGTAACTGTGCCTTTGCTGAGGAAGCATCAGCAGGCCCAGCACCGAGAAGAACTGGCAGATAAGGCTGATGAAACCCTTGGAGAAGACTTCATGTTGGAGTAACTTGGTACCTTTTCCCATTAGGGGGCTCTGCCTTTTCTAAGGCACTTTATGCAAACGAATCTGCCATTCCTTCCACACAAACACTGCACTGCCTGCCCCACGCTCATCAACCAAGATGCTCTGTATTACTTCAAAATAAAAGGCCATTTTTGTCTTCTGGATGGTTAACAACCTAAGTTTGCAGACCAAAATTAGAGAAAAAGGAGGGCTACAAGGAAAGCCAACATTTTGGCCCTAGCCTTCTAAGGTCAATTAAGACTCAGGACATATGAGAACTTGTACTGTAATGTCATGTACCTCGGTAGTGTCCCAAATTTTCTGATCAAGAAGATTATGGGGCCAAAGAGGAAAGTGATCGATGACGTAGAGTGCGCCTAAGGAGAGTCACATGGGGAGAAGACACTCTCTCAGGCTTTCACAGAGAGCACATTGGCCAAGCATTGGCCGTGACTCATCCACATGGCTGCACTGACAAAGGTTCTATAATCTGAGGTACAGGATCTCAGGATAAATCCTGAGGGCATTTCACTGACCTTCTCAGACCAAAAAGCTACAACTCCTGTTGCACAGGTCTTGCTTTACCTTGGTCTTAACCATCCAGTAGAAAAGTATGAAGACGAAATATAGGAAGTAAAGTCATGTTGTTATGTTGAGCTGTGGGGGATTCAGGTCAATAATTTCTGACATTGCCAGTTAAACAGAAGACCCAATGCTATTATGGGCTACTGGACTCTTTTAGAATATTTTGCTGAGTTTACACACCTATAATATTCAATAATGGAACTTAAAAAAAATTGGGGTATAACTATGAATGTCCATTTTGTATCTGTGTATTCAAAGTGGTTGGGATAGATATATAGTTGCATTCTCTTAATGAATAGAATGATTTTTTCTAATGGTGTTTGTAAATAGGATCACAAGTCTGCATCTTGTACAGCAATTAACCACTAAGAAGAATATATGCAGTGTATTATTTGTTGAAACTGTACTTTCAATTTGATTTGAAACTGTCTCATTGCTATATGTTTATCAATAAAACTTTGAAAAGAAAAAAAAATAAAAGGCCGTTTACTTCTTTGGAAACTTAAAAAAATTTAAAGCTGAATGCCAACTCTACCCAGAAAGTTCTTGAATTTTCTAAACTAATATTTTTATAATGAACAAACTATTTATTTATTTTTTGCGGAACCGGGGATTGAACTCAGGCCCTTGTGCTTGCCAGGGATGCGCTTATTCTACTGAGCCATCTCCCCGGCCCCTATAATGAATGAACTATAATAAGTCAGTTCTGACTGCTTCACAGAGAAAACAAGATGAGCTCAGAACTATTTGCAGTCTTTGCTTTATTAGGTAAAAAGCTTCTACCAGCTAAAACTACATGGATTTTCCTGTGGCTCGGTGTATTATGCCGTTTCACGAATCATGTGAAAATATAGTGGGCAAAAGCAAAATGGATGCAAGACAAACAGACTTCAATTCAAAACGGGGCTGTGCAAAAAACACACATGAGTTTTAAAGGGACCAAGGGTGCTAGCAATATGGTAAGAACTACTCAAACACCTTTTTAGAAAAAAATATGCAGCACTAGGGACTGATCCAGGGCCTTCATACTGAGCTCTGTCCCAGCCAGCCCTTTTTAACTGTGCATTATGAGATGAGGTCTTGCTAATTGCTTCTGGTTGTGCTGAACTTGTGGCCCTGCTACAGCAGCCTCCAGGAGTGCTGAGATTAAAGGCACGTGCCACTATGCCCAGTGAGTAAGTGCCTTCTTGCAATCAAGAGTAAAGAGAAATGCTTTATCTTATTTTGTCTATGCAGTTGTGACTTCAGTGCAAAACTTAACAGATTAAGTGCTACCAATCAATATGTCAAGAAAGAAAGTTATGTTCCAAGGACACTGCTCCACTAAGTCCTCGGAAGCTCCGTGCTTTGGTAAGCACTGCAGAAGGTAGCCACAGAGAGAACTGAACAGAGGAGGGGCGAGGAGTTAGTGTATAAGGGTGTGATGTCTGCTGGAGAAGGCGGGAGGGCGCTACCGGCCGGGTGTCGAGGGCCGCACAGCGCCTGAATGCACAAGCTGACAAAGACAGTAAACTGTCTGTTATGTGTACAAGAGTTCATGAAAGACACTGGATCGGGGGCCTGGAAGCCCACCGCGCAGGTGAGCAGGTGAGCAGGAGGCAGAGTGCGGGGAGTGCCACCCCGCCTCCTGGCACACCTAGCGGGGGCGCCTCTCCCCAGTCTCCACCTGGCGGCAGAGCTGCGTGCACTTTCCACGGTTACACCACAGCCCCGCCCTTCCGGCCACGCGCTGCCGAGCGTCTGTGCTTCTCCTTGGGAGCAGCCTCTGAGGAGACAGACCGTGTCCTGCCGAGCATCAGGGCTTTCCTTGGCTCTCTGACACAGGGAGCCCCGATCACGGGAGACGCAGCCACGAGAGGGCACACCCCATTCCATCCCAGTCTCCACGAAGCCCTTTAGTTCCAGGTAAAACCTTTAGGCAGATCATTTTGTCCAGGAGGAAATTAACCTACCCCACAATTAAATGCAGTAGGTCAAATGAACTTTGAGCCCTGTCCACCCTGAGCCCTGCTTTAAAAGAAGGCGCAAAGACAGGCGGCAGGGCGGGTTTCCTCAGCGGAAGTGCTCCGCGAAGACCAGACAGCACCCCGGGGCTGCCCTCGCCCTTGCAAGTGCTCGCTCGCAGGAGCCGCTGCCACGCACTGACCTTCAACACCTTCTTGATGCTGTTGATGGTGGATGTGAGCAGCGACCTCACTTTCTGGTCGTCATTCAGGTAGTCTGCGTGTCGGACACACATGAACAGGATGTAGGCTGGCAAGCCGGGAATCAAGTTGACTGCCACGCCACGTGGCTTCAGTTCTGGAAAAGAAAAAGCGAACCCGTGTAACCCTGAACATCTCCGTGGGGTTGGCCCTTGAGGTGAAGTGCGAGTGGTGTGACACTCAGGCACAAGGGCAGGCCACGCAGTTTTCGCAGCTGCCTCAGGGAGAATCCTGACCATGGCCCTCTGTAGAATGCAGGACCGCAGCCTCCTGCCCTGACTTCCTTTGGGCTCCCCTCCACCGTCCTCTCAATGTCCCCACTGGGGCATGTCTCCTACCCTCTGCAAACTACAATCCAGATTCCGCACACAACCTCTTCTTCCTTGGTTCTTCCTATGTTAGACAGACTACAGCAGCTCTGGTCTCCCAGTTTCTCAGGTTATAAATCGCACCATCTCTTAGATCCTTTTTCATTTGTTCACTTGTCGGTCAAGGCCTCACAGCGTAAACCAGGTCTGAGCCTGCGTTCGTCCTGCCTCAGCCAGGGCTGGGATCACAGGCTACCTTCTCTGTCCCCTTTCTTTGCTCATGCCACACATCTGATTCATCAACAGCTCTGCTGGCTCTGCCTACGAGATACATCCTACGTGCAGTCACTTCTGCCTTCCTTTTCTAGAAACCACCCAGCTGCCAGCCCTGGGACCTGCCCGAACTGCTGTGATGTGCTTCCTACACTGCATGGAGCAGGGCGCTCCTTCATGAAAGCGGGGCTCCATTATGTCGCTCGCTTGGTGGATCTTCCAGGCATCTTCTCATCCCACTTATTGCAAAGCCCCAAAGCCGCAGTGTGTCCTGAGCCTGGCCGCCTCCTCTCCTGCCTAGCCCCTCCTCCAGTCATGTGGCTGTCCCTGTGGTGGCTCCAGGTGTCAGGCGTGCTCTCAAGGGGCTGATGGGCAGCTCGCTCTTCTGCCGCAGAGGTTCCTAAGAGAGCACCATGGCTTGCTCCCTTACTTCCTCTGGCCTCTGTCCAAAGCACATCTATCACATAGTGTTTTCTGACAATTCTATATTCAACACTGTACCTGCCTTCACCCATTACTCCTCTTACCCCCAAACTGAACCAGTGGCTCCCCAACATTTCTGCCAAGAGAAGATCATGCGACAGGTGCAGCCTCTGTACCCATCCTCAGTCTAAGTTTGACACCACCAACCTGGGGGTGCTAAAGCAAGTGTAACTGCCAGCCACGCCCCTGCCACCTGGCACTGGGGGAGGCTGTGGGAGAGGCATCATGTGCTTCAGCTCACGGCTCTTGGGTGTCACTCTTCTCATCTGCCACCTCTTTCTGAAAGCCCCCTTACAGAGCCAGGGGGCCGCCCACAGCCTGACGCCCTCTGATGCGCTGCAGCCACCCTGCTCATCTGCACCATCTTTCCCTTCTTTGCTGAGTCTTTTATGAAAAAATACTGGTCACGGCCACCCCCACTCCCTGGAGACCTGTGCTGTCAAGAGCCATGGATGAAAGCTCTGTGAAGCTTTCTGGCTGATGCCAGCACAGACAGGCTAAGAAAGCCTGGCCTCAGGTCGTGACAGGTAGGGCCTGGGCGCAAGTCCCTCCCTTGTACCCGAGTGACAGCATGGCGGGGGTCAGTTCACAAGGAGGACTGCTGACCCTTGTGTGAAATGCTTCAAGAATCAGTGAGCGTCCTTCTCCCCACACTGGGAAGACCTGCCACACAGTACATGCCTAGGATCAGGTTCTTGACAAGCTTCTGCTCGTCCTCCTTCTTATACTCCAGCATTCCCTGGAAGTCCTTCTCTTTCCTGGGAATGTTGACTGGACGGATAGGTTCATCGATGATCTGTCCTGGGGATATGTTCTCCATCTGGCCCACTTCATGAGAAACAAAAAGGGAGAGGAAAGTGGTCTCGTCAGATGGAAGGATGAGCGAGATTTCCACGTCCCTAAGCCTTCAAACGAACTCTAACAATAGAAACTCACCATACAGACCACTTCATTGTCCTCTCTTAAAATACTTTTTCTGCTAAAATTGGGTGGACAGATAGCAAATATCACTTTGACAGCCACTAGAGCTTGACATTAGTAATATCAAATAACCTTACCTGATTGAAAGCTGCTTTTCTTTTTGCAACAAGATTCACTTTATTACAGTAAATGTCTCAGGAGTAGATAGTTTAACATATTGGTGAACTAACTTCTACCAATCAGAAATTACTAAACACATAAGGACTTTAACCTATAGAAGGAAAAATAACAACATTCCAGAACAGGACAGTGAGCACACCATTAGCTGAAGAATGTAGTCGCTCTGAGCAGCGGAACACTCACGGCACAGTTTCTGCACACTCACTACCTCAATACAGATCATTTCCCAGAAAGGTCTCAAAGGGCAACCCACTGTCTCTCCTACCACTGCCAATTCCCAAAGAAAGCATGGGAAAATAAAAACTGTCATTTAATATGAATAACTATTATTACTATTTAATAGAGAGCCAGATACCCTGCTTTTGATTTGTATTCACCCAGGTACAGCCCGGCCAGGTACAAAAGCTGGTCACTACTGTCCATGGCAGTGACTGGAGAAAAGTTAGGCTAAGGATAAAAACAAGTGTTCAGTTTCCTCTCCTAATGGAGAGCTGAGCCGGAAACACAGGCAAGGTGAAGGAGCAAGAGGTACCACTGAGACTGGATGCACGCTCACAAGAGGCTTTTATCTGCGGGAAGAGGGAGCCCTTAGGAGATGCACTTAAGCACAGGCAGTTCCAGGGCTGCTGGCAAGCAAAAGGCACATCAGAGCCACCGACACCAGGAGTTCAATGTGCTGACTCCACAGAGGTCAGTGGTCCTGTGTGCCTCCAGGGCAGCTTCTGGGTTAGTGCAGGGGAGGCCACAACAGGGAACACCAGCACCTGCGGCTTTCACTTGGGTGGCTGGGACTCAGTGACACCCATCCACAGGGTGAGGCGGCATCACACACGGAGCTCTCAGTGCTGACGAGCCGGTGCAGGTGAAGGCACCACGCCCACCGTGGGGATGGCTACAGAGGCTCAGGTTTTCACTGCACAGACTGCGCTGTGCACCTGGGCACAGTGAGCGGGACAGCGCCAGCAGGCCTTAAGATGCACTCCTCCACGTGGTGAGGAGGCAACTCAACTGGGCCATCTTCTACTAAGCAAGCCGAGGGTCAGTTTAGGCACAATGCTGAGTGTCTGATAAAATCCCTGACTCCTTGGTATGTTCCTGGTCACCTAGGCTACAGAGATGACTCCAAGAGGGCAAACTGGGAGGAAACACACTAGGTTTACTGACAAATGCATATATTTGGACTCTATAACCTGAAGAAGAAGTTTTAAATCTACTGATTTTACAAAAATCTAATATGCCACTAATTAGATATGCCATTCTATGTGCACTAAAAGAGGAAAACCACTGCCAACTAAGCTATTTGTCATATACCAGTAACTGTTCTTTTTTATTCTTTTTGGTGGTGTTGGAGATTAAACCCAACATCTTTGCACTGACCTATATTCCAGGTCCTTAAAAAAAATTTTTTTTTCAATTTTGAGATAAGGTCTTGCTAAGTTGCTCCAATTAAGCTGGAATTCACAATCCTCCTGCCTCAGCCTCCCATAGTTCTGGGATTATAGGTTTGAATGACTAGCCCGGGCTTACATCAATAATTTTTGAGATGGTAAAATGTTAAACATGGGCACATCAGAATTTATAAAATATGCTGAATATTTTCACTAAGAGAGCTCATGTTTTAAAAGAAAGTTTCACTTTCCTTTTGGAAAATCTCAAATGAGGATATTTTTGGCTCTGTAGAAAAAAGCCAGACAAAATGTGCTGTCATCTTTAACATTTTTCTGCCTGAATTTTCCCTAGAGACTTAAGTCTTTTTTTTTTCTAAATTTTATTTATGTGTGTGTGTGTGTGTGTGTGTGTGTGTGAGACCAGCTCAGCCCACCAGGGGGCGGGGCTGGCTGGCATGTGGTGCTGGGGGATTGAACCGCGGTCCCTGTGTCTTGCTAAGCTTGTTCTAAGTAGGCGCTTTAGACCACTGAGCCATCTCACCAGCCCCTTTTTTCTTTTTTTTTTTTTTAAATGTGTTTAGTACAGGGTCTACAGGGTTTCACTACACAGATCGGACTCATAGTGATCCTCCTGTTTTCAGCCTCCTAAGTGCTAGGATTACAGGTGCGTGTCACTGCGCCCAGTCTCAGTCGCTGTCTCAGCGCACCCTGGGGATGGGGTCAGCACTGTATGCCGGGGATCAAACCCCGGTCCCTGTGCTCTGCTTAAGCAGGTGCTTTAGTCCACTGAGTTACCTGGCCAGCCCTGAGACTAAAGTCTTTATAAAAGTTCACAGGTGTCAGTTCAATATAAAATGTCAACCTTTATGTAGCATCAGGAAAATACAAAGCCTGGAGTAGAAAAGCCTGGGCACTGGACCAGTTTTTAAGCATTCCAGAGACCTTAGGTTGCTACGCGGGTGTTTAAGACGCAGGCCTTGAGAAGCACTCTCTCACCAGGCCTGAGGGCCTCACTCCACAGTGGGATCAATGTCCCACAAAAGGGCCCTGGGCCCAGTGAGGCTGAGTGCTGTTCCCTAGGGCAGTCCCTTCTGGAGGTGAGGGACAGGTCCCACGTGGACAGCAGGAGCCAGGCCCTCCCCACACACGGGGCTGTGGGCAGCCGGACCTCAGTGTCTAGCCTTAGAACTGGGAGAATGGGTTTCTCCTGCCAATGAAGCCCCCGGTTGGAGGTGTTTGGCCAGAGCAGCACAAATAGGACATCTCTATTAACATCCTCCCAGGAAGACAGAAAATGAGCCCTGCTGCCCTTCCCTAGACTCTTACTCATAAGCTCAACAGGAAAGTGAGCCTGAACTTCGCTGTCCTGGAAAGGAACATCAGAATGACTGTTTACAAAACATTTCCTTTTCCTCACTCTGGCACCAGGAAGGTCTGGACCTCAGATTAACTCAGCAGTCAGGTGAGGGCCTACAGGCAGAGGCCTCCGTAGGCTGGCTCTTCCTGCCATGCTGCGACAAGGCCCTGGTGTTCTCACGTGGCTTCTGCTCCTTTGTGATGCTCGGGGGCTGTGAGGTCTCAGTCTCTAGACTATAGAAACTCTGATGCAACACCTGCTCCTGCATTAAGATACAGCACGGGGCAGATCAGACCTCAAGATACTCCCCATTTCGTTACCTAATTTCCACTAAAAATTATACATGTTGGTACTTTTTTTTTTTTTTTTAAGTCTGTTGGCTTTTTAAAGTCTTTAATGAAATGCAGCCCACAGGAGGAGGGAGAGCCACGCTGCCCTAATGAGGCGGATGTGCACATGCCGCAGTGTGCCCAGAAACGCGCACACACGCTCTCCCTCAGGGGCAGGGCTTTGTGCGCGACACTGCTGCTGTCCTGTACACCCGGGGTCTGGATGGAGCCTGGCTCTGCCTGGCACTGGCAGGAGCTCGGAGGAGCAAAGAGGGCCAGAAGACACACTGCCCTGCTCGCTCCTGACAACGATGACAGTGATCGCTGAGGGCTTCTCAAGAGGCATTCCTACCATCGTATGGAAGTCATGAGATATTTAAGAAGTCTTATTCTCTTACAACTATAATTCCTATTTTTTCTTTATTTCCCTTTTTCTCCATTAGGTTGTGAGTATCCCTCTTCGTACCTTTAATAAGGACAGCTCATACTAACAGCTAAGTTGTACTTACTGTTTACTATTATGAGGGACAATTCGGAGTGTATCACCCACATTAACTCATTCAGTCCTTGTGCTGCCTATCCGGTAGACACCAATCCTTCCCATTTGACAGGTGGAAAGGCTGAGACTTTAGCCAAGTTCCTAAAGGCTGAGGTTTAGGAACTTGCCCAGAGTTGTAAGACTGGTAAGGAAAAAGCTACGATTTGACTCTAAGAAGCATGGCCTCCAAATCCACATTCCTAACTGCCAGGCCACCGCACATACAGCGCACTGAGAAGATTCACCTTAGAGGCTGGCTGAATGAATGTCTTCCCTTTGCAACTTGCTACCAGCAGGAAAGAACATTTTTCTTCATCTAGAAATGAAAATTTGTATCTACAGGTTGGCTTTGCCCAAAGTCATTTTTGTTACTGTTCCTAACATTTCTACATAAACCTCTATTAGGCCACTAGCACAGCAACACAAAACAACTTTTGGCAAGTGTCAGAAAAACACGCTTAAATACCTTCTAGTTCACCAATCTTTTTGGCAAATACTTTGAGTTGTTTTTTCAGCTTCCGGACAGTCTTATCCTGTTTTTCCAGTTGTTCCATCAAATCCTACAAATTAAAATGAGAAATATACAGAAAGTTCAAAGTAAGCCTTCAGAAATGCATCACGGGAAAGGAGACACAGAGGCACATAAGCATCACTGTTAGTTTGCCACAGAAGTTCCAGAAAAGCTCGCTGGTGGAGCCACCACCTGGCTAAGATTGGCAGGCAAGGGAGGAACAGCTACGAAGAAAGCCAAAGGTTAAAACGTACAATGAGTTAAGACGTTCTTCACAGTGTGATGGCTGAGGCTGACTGCAGTCCTCTGTGGCAGCTACACTCAGGCAAAACCACTGAATGCTTGAGGCCGCTGTTCTTCCAGCAGAACGGCTTCTTTTATAAAGGGGAACTGGGCAAAAACGAATTTTGACTGAGAGCACCAAAGGCTTGCTGGAAGCTTTTATGTGCTTGGAATCAGGCAGCACTGACATACATACATGAAGCACCGTCTCTACGAGACACACTGCCCAGAGATGCTCACCTTAGCTTTGCAGCTTACGAAGAGAAGTTGCAGGATTTAAAAGGTAAGTGGAGGAAATAACTGGAGAACAGGATAAAAAGTGGTCTCTTCTTGGGTAAAAAGCTAAAGCACCTGTATAAATCACTCATGAAACTTTGCTCTGACACAGAGAAAAAAAGGCGTAAATATGAATACCCACTGCAAAAAACAAAAATAGGAATCTGCGATCACTGACTCTGACAAAGGACTGTGGCAGAGGACAAGCACTTAACACCTTATTAAGAGGGAAGAGGGGCCGGGGAGATGGCTCAGTGGAATAAGCGCTTCTCTGGCAAGCACAAGGGCCCGAGTTCAATCCTTGGTTCCGCCAAAAAAAAAAAAAAGAGGGAAGTGGGCAAGTGCAGACCGGGGGCTCAGGCAGTGGGGAGTTGGGGCAGCTGCGGCTGCCACGCCGGGTGGGAGAAGAGCATGCGTCCAAACACAAGCACTCGTCGCCCTCTAGGGCAGACACACGGGTTTAGACACCACGCCCATGAGCTGATGGGAATAATTTCTAATGAAATGTTACGCTATTTCTCTTGATTTTAGTTCATCTTTCAAACACGTTTGCTTCCATCACACTGTAAGCCTGGTGTTAATAACGAGCCAAGCGTGACAGTGGAGGTGGACGCTGACAGAGGTGGCACTGCTGGCTATGAGACAGCTGTGAGGAGAAACAGGTGTGTGAGCTCTGGGAGGCTCCCGGGGAGAGGGGGCGCAGTGTGCTCCTCCGTTACAGAGGCGAGGGAGAGCAGAAGACAGAGAAGCGCTGGCTGTACATACAATCATCCGTCTGTAAAGTGAAATCCGGAATGACTGATACTTCTTAGGATCATCTGCATATAATTCCTCAAAATACTGAAAAAACAGGCACAATGGATATTTGTTTTCTTGTATCTTTGAGGGAAGGCAACCTCTCAGCAAAACCAATTAAAAAATACCGTGAAACACAAACAATGAAATCACCTACTCCAAGGCTCAGATTTGTCACCTACCATCACCTTGTTTCTCTAGTGTAGATGGTCTTAACTCTATAGTTACAAATACTTTTTGCACCCTCAGGGGGAACAGGCACCAGCCAGGACCCTCACGCAGCCGACACATAGCACGGGTGTCCCCTCTGACTGGGCCGGGCCTTGGTCTCAGCTTCCTGCCCTTTGGCTCCAGGCCCTGCCTCCTCTCATGCACTCGAGCTGCTGCAGCTTCCGGGTGAGCGCAGCTTGTGCTGCTGTGCCTGCCCTCACTGAGGGGGTGGTGCGGGGGGTGCCTGCTCAGGAAGAGGGAGAAAACCTCCCATGTCTGTGCTGGGTGGTGGAGGTAGGTGGATGTTATGTAAGGCAAAACTTCCAGGAATACTCAGATCTGGGCTGCTTTAATCTTCTGCCAAGTGCCTCATAAGGAAATGCACAGTGCAAACTGAAGCCATGAGCTTGAAAAGTAGATCATTTCCTGTACGGAAGTTTTCATCCGTACTCTTGAATTAGTAGTCAGTATAGTGGCTGGAGAAGTGGTGATCTGTAAAGTGCTCCCCAAACTCAAACTCATAAACCAGTCTCTTCCAACTCAGAATGCGGTTTCCATGTTAGCTATGAAAAACTGACAAAATATTAGAACTGTGGACACTCAGGAGAGGTGCTCCTCACTTTAGTGCTGGAACAGCCACCCAGAAGCATTTATAGCCCACAGACCCACCAAGCACCTGGTTTCCAGACAATAATTTATGAGCACAGAATCTGAACAATGACCAGTTAATATTATGATTCAGGCATTTATCAATTCTCAGTCATGAAAGCATTGTTAGTTTAGTGGAAGCAACAATATATGCAAATGCAATGAAACATCATTCCAAAAATATTTTATGATTCAGAAAATTCCCCACCAACTGGAAAAAGTTCAAATACCCAACCCCACCATGGAGCCCGGCCTAGAGAGACAACTGTGAACGGAACACCAAGTGAATGATCCGAGCAAACTACTTGTGTACCCATGAACACTACAGAGTAATGTCAATTTTTCTGATTGTTAAATCTTCAGAAAAATTCCAACTATCTTATTATAGGTCATTAAGAACAATATAAAAAAGGCATAAGTCACCAACAATACAAAAACTTTTCTCAAAATCAGGCTGCCCCTATATTATAGATATTATATAGGCATGTAGAATTACAATTATTCAATGATTTTTATTGCAGTAACTGTATCTGTCCAACTTAAAAGACATTTAAAACTGCACATCTATAATAAAAGCTATTATGTTACTGAGAAGGAAAGAACTTGGAGGGTTGGGGAGATAGCTCAGTAGAATAAGTAATTGCCTGGCACATGCAGGCTCCTGAGTTCAATCCCTAGTACTGCAAAAAAAGAAAGACAGAAGAGCTTGGAAAATTGTTCAGGTAAAAAAAATAAAAGAAACGGAAAAGAAAAAGATTCCCCGCCAGTGTTCAAAATCTGGCAAGGGAAAACACCCTCATCGACAGTCTAAGCACTGCCTGGATGGGTAAAAATGCGCAACCCTTGTCTTACTAGTGCCGACTGAAGCCCTCGCTCGGTGTGCCAACCTCAGTGGCAACCCTACTGCCCACAAGGGGCAGAGGCTGGTCTGGCCTCAGTGGCTGCCTAGGGACCAGACGGAAACACAGTTAGCCCCCGTCTCTGTTGTGATAATCAGTAAGAAACCTACTGAGAAGGCAGAGCCTGTGTGTACAGCTGATGAAGGGTGTGGGTTGCCTGGGTCCAGAGCCACCAGAAGCCCAGCATGGGGTCCGGGATCTCCAAGCCCCCCGGAGAGTGCTCAGACCACACATTCCCATTCTCCTTCCTGCTTCAGCAAGAGTAGGGGGTGCCAAGTGTGGAGCAGGGAACCCACCACCAGGAAACCAGGAGCCCCAGTGGGGCTGTGCCCTCCTCACCAGGTTCTCATTGGTCAGCCGAGTGATCTCGTGCTGCAGGCTGGCCTCGATGCGGGCCTCTGGGGGCAGCTGCAGGTTCTGAGCCAGCAGCTGCTGCTGCCGGTTATTCTCCTCCTTCAGGCTCTGGATCTCCCCACGGAGGGCCTCAGCCTCATTCTCATGGCTCCTCTTCTGCGACTGCAGCTGGGACTCCAGGAGCCTGCGAGGGAGCCACACCAGTAAGAAGGGGAGGGGACACCCCAAGTCCCTGCCTAGCGGGTGTGAGGTCTCATGTGCTCTTGCTAGAGTGGGAAAAGTGGTACTCACGCATCTTCTGACTTCATCGAAGTCAAGAAACTCAAACTGGGGTCAGAGATGCAAACAAATACTCTTGCATCTGTACTTTCCAAAGGGGATGAAGTTCTGAGATCCTCCAGAAACATAAGGGCTTTAGCTCCTTTGAAAAGTTCATAGGAAATGATAACTTTAAAAATTTAAAGACATAACTTTGGTCTGGTCTGCTATTTTTACAAGCTAGCATTCCAGCTGGTGAAGTCTGGATCACTGCCACAAAATACCTGCACTACACAGAGCAAGATCATCACCTCCTCATGAATGGCCTCTGCCTTCAAGGAGGACCATTACTAACGCCAGGGACAGGTAAGAACATGATCCCACTTTTATATTCTACTCTTATCTCTGAAGGACAGAAAAGCTGAGTGCTACAATGGAAGGTATACAAACTGACCCAAATCCAGGCAGTTAGTTCTGATCTCTCTCTCTCTCTCTCTCTCTCTCTCTCTCTCTCTCTCTGTCTCTCTCTCTCTCTCTCTGTCTCTTTCCCATAAACCTACACTTCAGTAACAACCTAACCAGACATGGCTTAAGACAGAGTAGCAGGACAACAGCTGTGCCCACAGTAGACCAGGACAGCAGTGGGGGGCCCCAGGCTTGGTGTGGCTCCTCTTTGCCATGCACCCACCCTTACTCTCACTTCCCGACACAAAGCAAAGCCATAGCTGGGAATTAACCAGTGTGAGAAGAGAAAATCATTCTTTTCCTCTAATTGCTCTGGCTGCCAACTGCTGGGGAAAACTCACTGGCGCAAGCCAAGTGTTAAGGGCAAGTTAGAAACATTCTAGTGACTGCACGATTTGAAAAAGAGTCGGATCAATAACAACGTGAAGTTAATGACAGTGGTTTATCATTAAAACAAAGCAGAACAAGCAGAAGACCCTCGAACAAACAGCACATTAAGTGTTTTTGTGTTTTAATCACTAAAATGTAGTTTTTAAGATATGACACAAGTGTCACAAGCAGATGAATATCTATTAGAAAGAGGGTGCTGTTTCAATTTTGCTTTCTTCCCTGAAACATACGAAAAGCGTGTGGTATGGTGGTTTTCCTGCACTGTAAACATACGAGGAACCTGGCTTGCTCCTTCTTGCATCTGGATTTCACAATAAGCGCACAGAACACCACATCACACATGCAACACTGCACTCAGGCAGCACCAGATGTATGAGAAGGTGGCCACAGTGCCGCCGGCACATGGACCTACTGGGGGACCTCTAGGACAAACAAGCAGCTGCTGCCTTAAGGACTAAGCCTTAGGAACTCATGTCAGTAATCTGTGCTCTAGTTGAGTGTTTTCCTCTCAACTTTAAGAGCGATACAATTTTTAGATATTCAAAAACTCTAGGCAGCAGCATTTCCTGGGGAAGTAATTGTTGTATTCACCATCAAGCAGTTTTGGCCTTAATGGTATCTATTTGTGGAGAAGGTTTTGAGGTGTCTGGCCGAGTGCTCTAAGATTTACTGAAGAAAGTTGCTTAGGAAGGTAATTAGTGCACAAGAACCAGGAGTTAAAGTCACGAGTCCGCTGTTAGTAAGAGAGCAGCGCATAACGAACACTCCTCGTGAGTGAGGAGACGAACATAACCTGTTGGCTTGTTTTAACCCTTCATAAACCAGCCACAGCTCTCCGTCCTCATTCAACTCATGGCAATCCAGAGCAGGTGGTCTCCATGCGGAAGGAAAAACAACACAAACACAAGGGTACAGGGTGGCGGTGAGATGATGATGGCCAGGAGCAGCACACGGTATTCAGCATCTTACGATGTGAGCAAGAACGCGTCTATTAATTACACACGACCAAGCCATTACTGTGGGAACCATTTCTAGGTACTAGTTTTAAATGGGTACGAAATCTCACATGTAAGTAAGCAGAAATTAGAGCAAAATACTCTTCCAGAAAAAATGAGAAATGACTGAGAGAGCACGCGAGACAGCCTTTCACCCTGCACGCCGCACTTAGGCCAGGCTCACGGTGACGACATGAGGGAGTGAAGGCTCCAGCCGCTGTCTGCTAATCCTCACCACTCATTTCAAGTGGAGGTTAAATCTTCTGAGGAAGAACTCTTTTTAGTTCAATAAGATCTGACTTCTCATTTAAAAAGTTCTTACAAAAGTAACATAAATAAGAACATATCCAAAGTTCCCAGCTTTTATAACATGATTTAAAAATCTTTTTTCAAACATTTAAAAATTTTAAGATTTGTAGAAATTGCCTTTAGCATTGGAGACAGGTTACTGTTTACTAAAGGTAGTGTAATTAACGGCAATGGGAGAAAAGACAACAGTTTTCACAAACAGTATTTTCTGAGGTGTGCTAAGCTCCTGTCCAGCCCCCAGAGCCCTCAGGGCCTACACACCCACACTGAGGAAGATGGAGGCGAGGATTCTGTGGAGGCGAAGGAGGCGCCACTGGGCCACGAGTCCAGCCTTACTATCACCCGTTCACAGAACATGATTTAAGGGAACCTCCTTCTGCTGGCCCCTCCCATCTCTCCTGAGAGTTCATCTGTGTCAAGGTTCCAGTGGCTTTATTATACCGTGATACTGTAAACACGTCTGCCTCAGCCCACACCTCTCCTGGCTGCAGGTCTAGCCAGTGGATTCTCTGCGTGGATGTCTTGCTGGCTTCTGTGTTTAGGGTGTGCACATCTACCCCACCATTCTGCACTTGCTGTTCTGGAAGTGGCTTCCCCACCCTCGCCCACTCGGGAGAGCCACCGCAAGGCTGTGCCCTCGTCTTTCATGTATCTCTCAGAAAGCCCCGTACCCTCCGCCCCACCTGCCACAAGCCAGTCACTGGATTACAGGGAAAACCTCTTTACTAGCCTTCACGTTTTCCATCTGATTCTGTCATGACCTGTTCTCTAATGTAATAGCTAGGGCTAGCTTTCTAAAACTCAAGTCTCATCACAGCCCCTCCTACTAACCCTGGCCCATGGCTACCACTATCTTTGGAAAAAGATGCGAGACCTCCTGAGGCTGCCTGCAGCTTGCCAGCTCTGAGGGCACAGCGCACCCAGCCTTTCTGCTGCGCTCCCAGTGCTCTGCACAGAGCATGGCTGGAGAGCACCCCCTGCCTACCTTGGATCGGACGGCCAGGTAGGTGCATGAGGAGTGCGAGACAGCGCTTTCATAATAACACATTAGTAGATGTAAAGAGATGCTGTTAATTTATATTCATAGATTAAAGTTTCAGTTTAACCATATACTTCTAAAAGCATTCTCCATCCTTGCCTAGGTAAGAATGTTAGACATATAATACTTTCTGCATGGCAAACATCTTCCGTTAGGGAAATATTTATGTGTACAAATCCTGGTGCACAGTCCCTACAGACAGTACACAGATCCAGCACTGTATTTCTGTGGCCCTCACTGCTCTGTGCACTCAGAACAGTGCAGCATGCAGTCCTGAGTTCAGAGTTAGGAAGTGGGGGGCAGTAGGGCAGACGACAGAAGCTTTTACTCTCCCACAGGAGAAGCCATGGCTGAGAGCAGTAGGGCACCACTGATGTGACTCCACATTCCCTGCGACCTCGCCCATCCGAGTACCAACCAGGCCTGACCCTGCTTAGCTCCTGACATCAGACGAGATCGGGCTCGTTCAGGGCGGTCTGGCCCTAGACACCCCATCACTTCTCTTCACACAAGGGTCAACTGCTGGTGCCACTAACACCTTCACACCACTGTCCTGAAGACTGCCCATATTATGGAAAGGACTATCGAGCAGTCACACTAAGCAATGGATTTTCTTCTCAAGGGGGCATCTCGAAGCTAAGCCCCTAAATATACAAAGACGTCCTCCCTTGCTGTAAGTAGCGTTACCTCCGACGCTTCTCGTCCACAAAGCTCCCTAGCGCTATGCGTGGGACCCTACTGGGAGCATAGTGGAACCTCTGGATTCTCTCTGAAGATCAGCTGATGTCGAGTACAGCAATGAACAAACACACTGACTTACTGTGAGAGAACAAAGAACAATACAATTACACCAAAATGAATACAAGAATAAACTTACCTGTTTGTTTCTTTCAAACCAATGTATGCTTGTGCAATTTCACCTTTATCTTTCATTTTTTGTACATCTTCCAAAAGTATTGTGGAATCTGTCATTGTATTCTGAAAGCAAAATGGACACATTTCCACAGTAAGACTCAATTCAGAGTCCCTGGGCTGCAGGCGGTACGGCCTCCTCGGCAGGGCGGGTGTCTGCTCTCCACACCTGCACCCCACCAGGGCCTCAGGCCCGAGGCACACGCTGCCCCCACCCGAGGACACCCGCATTCTCCCACAAGGTGCAGAACATCTGAGTGCTGCTGGGATCTTTGTCACTGCATCACATGAAAAATGCATATGCACACGTGGATGCAGAACATTAGGAAAATAACCAGGCAATGGTCTAAGGGAAAGAACAGCACTGCTCTTCCTACTACTTTCTGATCAGTAAGAATGATCAAACACCCAAGTAAACAGAAAATTTGATATAAAGCTCTTTTTTTCCACTAAAAATAGTACAAAGAAAGTAAGTTTTCAAAGGATATGCTTTAGCAAAATTAAAAGTATTTCCCTTCACATAATATATACAAATGGGATTGATGTGGCCTCTTTTTAGCATCTACCATCTGTTGCCATTTCTTTTGCCCTCTGCCACAATATAGCATGGAATATAAGCCTCTGAGTAAACATCAACTAGGTCAGAATTACCAATGATTTGATACAGAAAGAACTCTTGCCAATATAGTTTTGCTAATATTTTTAAATTTATTTTTTCCTCATTAGTCTAATTTGCCTGAAATCATTGTAGTTTCAAAATCCTGCTTCTATTTAGGTCCCTTCTAACTTGTTAGAGCAGGGCAGCTTCTAAACACTAACTCACTTTAGAACCCAACAGCCCACTCTGCTTGAGCAGGGTATGCCTGACCTTCAGCCCACATCTCTTCTGCAGCCAGGCTCACAGTGAAATGGACTTTACAGGCTTCACCTTAGAGACCAGTTCTAAGATAACTCTGAAGCCAGTGAGAATGTTTGCTTTGATTCTCAGTGTGTATAAGAAGCAAAAATCCACCTCTCTTAATGCTGTCCTTCCGTGAACTTATAAATGTATCCTGCAAGGGGAGAAAAGACAGCCTAGTAACAGTTACTAATAAGAAGGTATGTTTTACTAAATTTAAAAAAAACTTTCTCATAAATGCCAATGTAACATTTAACTATGTCTTTATAAATATTTATGCATATTTATTTTCCCAATTTCTCTGAGAGAAAAAAATGCCTTTCTATTACACCAAGGACAATACTCAAATTTTTAAGACCTGTCAATCATCTTTCAAAGATGCAAGTTTCTTTAGCAAATAATGCTACCTGCCTGCTCTACTATCTGAGGGCACACAGACTGACTGTGAGGTTTGGAAAACTATAAAACTTGGTCTAATTAGTTAGAAGAGAAAACTAGGCTTCTTTATATGCTATTCTCCTAGGGAATAAGCAGCCAGTTTTTGCTACTTTAGCCAAGAAGTAGAAATGGAGATGCAACTGGACCACAGCGCTAGGAAATTTGTGACTCACTGTTCAGAGTTCGGGTGTTTGATTCTCCAAACTCAGAGACCAGAAGTTCTGAAATATTGCACATTGCAACATGTATCTTTCACCCAGTAGCTCAAAAAAAGATGCAATAGGGCCAGGCTTTACAGTGCATGCCTGTCATACCAGATACATGGTAGGATGAGGCAGAAAGGTTGCAAATTTGAGGCCCGCCTCAGCAACTTAGCGAGGCTGTGTCTTATAGGCAGACAGGCTGGGGATGTAGCTCAGTGGCTCAGGGCTTGCCTAACATGCACAAGGCACTAGCTTCTGTTTCCAGAACTGCTAAAATAGAAATCTGACTTTGCAACCTCATCAGGATCTGTTTCCAACCCAGCCATGGAAGCTGTACACAAGGAGAAGCAAAGGTAGGGAGGAAGGGCACTCAGTGTCCCAGCTGGCAGAGGGCAGTCAGCAGCATCTGTGCCCGGGCAGGCACCCTCAGGGAAGGGCTCTCTCTCACCCTGCACGTGGCCCTGTAACTACTGCAGAGTTGCAGCGCTGACAATGAGCTAGAAGCCCTGGAGAACTTGCAATGATTCAGATTGGCACCCAGGGCAATTTCTATTTTTCCCACTGGTTTCAAAAGAGGATGGGAATCAAACAGAAAATGAACTTGTATATAACAAATCAGACTCGGTGGTAAGACAGTACCAACTGCATATACTGGGGGCAGGGAGCCTGTAAACCAAAGGATTAAATACAAGTACTTAATAAAAACTGAAAAACTTTATACTTACCTTGTCATCCTGAAAATCACAAGTTAGCAAGCACAAATGAGAAAACAAATCTTTAGTTCCAAGAATAAATTTCAACAATGAACTCTACTATAACAAGATAAAAGCTGGGCTGGGGAGATAGCTCAGCTGCATAAGCACCTGCCTGGCAAGTGCAAGGTCCTGAGTTCAATCCCCAGTACAGGAAAAAAAAAATCAAGATGAAAGATAATTTAAAAAACAACCATCAGGGGCAGGGGAGCTAGCTTGGCAATTGATCCCTGGCACTGCATGCTGTGCCAGTCACTGAGACTGGGCATGGTAGCACATGCCTGTAATCTCAGCACAGGGGAGGCTGAGGCAGGAGTACCACTACGAGTGCAAGCTGTGTAGTGAGGCACTACACCCAATAAATAAGTAACAACTATGAATCTTTTTCTCCTAAAACTAAACCTGTAAAGAAATTAATGTCCATGAAGCCAAGATATAATGGACATCAGTATTTATATGATGGTGCCTTTTATTTCTTAGGGACAAATGCTTGCAATTCTTTCTCAAGTTGATGTAGTGGTTCAGTTTTATAACAGTTTTGAATATGTCAAAGAATGGTCCTCCTGGTAGTGAGCCTGGGTGAACTTGGTTTTTTTTTTTTTTGAACTGGGGATTAAACTCAGGCCCTTGCACTTGCCATGGAAGTGCGTATTCTACGAGCCATTTCTCCGGCCCCTGGGTGAACTTGTACCCTAGGCCTGAGTGCGTTCAGTCATATCCACTAGGAGGATGCTGCTTCAGGGGCACTGTGCCCAGCACTGCCCTGTAAAGTGGAAATTAGGGGGGACAAATATCCCTGAGGTGTCTGGAAATCTCATTAATGTGGGGGGCACTGTTTGAGGAGAGGGAAAGTTGAAGCCATGTGTAGCCTGGGAGCTGGCTAAGCAGGGCCCGGCCATTAGGGGCAGGAGGGCACCCGGGGCGAGTATGTATGACACCAAAACTGTGCACCCTACTAGCTTGACCGTTTTGCCACTTGCTTCAGTTTCCTTTTCCTGCAGTTTCTTCTCAAATATATTTACAAATTATTATTTGTAAATAAAAAAAGACTATCAGCTTGTCATCTAGAAACCAGATAGGAATCTTATATTCCTTCTCTGATAATCTATGGCCACACATTACACCACATATATGTTAACGCCCACAGACACCGAGCCTCACTGTGACGCCTGCATCCACGCAGCATACTTTGCCCATAACCCTATCGCCTTCCCTCATACCCTCCTCCGACCCCCTTGACGCCCTCTTGTCTAACAGTCTGTACAGGAAATAAGCACAGCCTTGCTTCCCTAGTCCTAGCTGCAGTAGCAGCCTTGAGGACCACGAGAGAGCGCCCTGGCACAAGTGACCCCTACGCGGCCCAGCCAAAATGGAGAGTGCTCTTCTGAGCTGTCTCCACTTAAGGTAACACTGCAATTATAAAAAAAAAAAAAAAATCTGAGCCCTCAATCAGAGTGAAAATTATGTGTCGGCTCTCTCAGGCCAGAGTGAAGAGGTGAGGAGGAGAGGCCCAGCTCCAAGCCCCGGCCCGTGCGCGGTGCTCACCTTCGGCTGCACAGCCTCCTTCTGGCTCACCAGCTGGGACCGCAGGATGAGGACCTCCTCCTTGCGCACATCCAGCTCCTCGCTCACGGTGGTCAGCTGCTCCATTAGGACGCGGTAGGCCGGTGCACCTGGAGCAGTCACTTCTGGGGCGCTCTTCTCACTGAGGGCCTTGCGTAACTCATTTAGCTCATTTTTCAGTTTTTTGTTTTCTGATTCCAGTTCTTGGCGCTGAATGAATAAAGAAAAGTCCACTGCTGTCACCCGCACCGCCCCACTGGGAAGCTGGGCTTCCCCACATGTAGTTCTGCTGAAGAGGACACTGGAGCGCTACCACGAGTGGCTCCCTAGGTTGGCTGGGAACTGCTTTGTGCACGGAGGGCGTCTGCACCCAGTGGAGTCGAGTTGAGCAAGGCTCATGGCAGCTTGCACCACCAACCTAAATTCCAGCAGCACGACACATCCAGTCTTCTCAGGGAGCACTGACAGCCCGGAGACACTGCTGCCTCCCATGGGTGTGCTCAGCCAGTCCTAAGGGACCCAGGTCTGCGTGCACATAAACACCTGGGCAGGGCCAAGTGTCCAGCTCAGGGCGTGTCCAGCAAGAGCCGGATGGCTGCCATCCTGGGGTCTTTAGTAGTGCCTCTTAGTTCTTTTGTGACATAGAAATTTTAAGCTTTCAACTTATAATTTTTAAAAAATTTACTACATCATTTAAACTGACACAAGTTCCCTCCAGTGTTTCAATGACAATACATAATGTGTTTTCCTAACTTCTTCCTGTGTGACACCCTTGGGAAGCTGGTGGCCGCACTGTGGGAATGGGAAGGCTGAGTGGCACCTCCTCTAGTTGCTTGAGTGACACAGGAACCCTCACCCTCGGCACAGTCACCTACCACCTCCTCATGCCTACAGCCGGCCCACTCCACACACAATGCACACCACAGGGCAGGAGCCCAGGACGGAATGGAGGGGCACTGAAACCCAGCTGCAAGGCACCAGCCAGGAAGCACGCAGGTGGACAGGCACGCGAGTCTATCTTAGAAAAGCACTGCGGTGCCGTGGGTCGCAGGACACAGGCAAGGGCAGTGCTAGCGAGGCGCTTGTAATTACTATTCCTCCAAAACAAACAGGGTCTGATCCCGGGGCACACTGAGAAGGCAACTGACTGGGCGTGGTGGCACACACGCCTGTGACCCCAGCTCTTGGGAGGCTGTAAACAGGCGGATCACTACAAGTCTGATCTAGTAGTGAGACCCTGCACACCCTGTAGATCCTTCCCTAAAATATAATAAATAAATAAATAAATAAATAAATAAGTAACAGTCTTGGGTTTGCAGCACCATATCGGGTCTTTTGAGATACATCAAGACTACTAAAAATTCTTTCTAATCTAAGAAAATGTAATGCTGCACATGGTGGTGCATGCCTATAATTTTAGCACTTTGGAGGCTGAGGCAGGAAGATCCTTTGATAGCAGCCTGACCTACAAAGTAAGCTCAATGGAAGCCTGAACTTCATAGCAAGATCCTGTCTCAAAAAGACAAAAAGAAAAAAAAAAGTGACCATTTGCACCCTAAACTGATCAATTACATCATGATGATCAGAGCTCCTTCCTGAGCCAATATCCTGTCACCACAATCAGAGTTTTACTGCCCATTTCTGTAGTAAAAAACACATAAAGGTCTTTACTTTGTGGCCTAAGCTCTGAAACAGGTCTCCAGTCCTTCATGTGCTGCAGAATCACCTCAAGCCCTCACTAATGCTCAGGGTGCTGAGCTCTACTGCCAGAGGTCACCATTCCATAGGCCTAGTAGTACAGGGCCCCAACTGTGCCTTTCTAACAGATTACCAAGAAAAGCTGATCCGGAGAGCCAAAGGCCAAAGTGTTGAGAACCAGGGATCTGATTCTGCGACTCTGGGCTTCAATCACAGCACACAAAGGCCTTTATTTGTCCCTGTGCACATGAGGAGGGAGGCCTGTAGAGCAGACTGGTCCCTGAGCCACTGGTCTGTCCCCTAATATCCAATCAGATTTTGAGGCAGCAGATGGGGCATCTAAGCCCAGGTTACTATGCCCTCAAATGGAAGCTACTTCTTTTGTTCCCGAAGCCTAGACTTTGGTGTGACTGAAACAATTTATAAGAAGCCACGCAGCTAGCAGTAATACTGAAGAACCCTTTTGTTGGGCTTCTGGGGAAAGCCCCATCGAAGGGCTTCTGAGAGAGACAGGGTCTGCACAGGTGCCCTGCAAAGCCAGATAGCCAAAGTCCTGGCCAGAAGCTTCCCATTACCTTGAGGGACTCATACTCTAGTTCTGCACCTCTGATCTGTGGTCTTTCTTCTTCCTGGGGAAAGAATAAAGTAAGAACTTCATATTTTGTGCTCTACAGAAACAGTGAAGACGGTTTAGCCTTTAACCAAACTACTAGACGAAAGCATGGAAGTGATGGCATGGGGGACAAAAAGCTCTTGCTGGGGGCCCTTCACAGCACACAGGGTGGGGCGGGGTGTACCTTTGCTTTGCTACGCAGCACCTGCTCCTCCTTGCGGTCCAGCTCGTCCTGCATCACCTGCTTCTCCTGCTCCAGCTCCGTGACCCGCTTCTGCAGCTTGAGGAACAGTGACATGTCCAGAGGCACCTTCTTCTCACCGAGCTCCTAGATCCCAGAAATCACAAGAGTCAAAGCAAGCCACTGAGGAAAGGGTGGACAGGTAAATCCACAGAGGAGTGTCCACACCTGAAGAGAGTGAATACAGATGCACACTTCCCCTTGTTAACAGCTGGAGAAACGCGAGTTAAACACGGAGATGCTGCTCCTCCCCTAGAAGGCCGGCAAAGGCTAATGCCCTGTGTTAGCAACAGTGATGAAGATACTGGTGGACACAAAAGCCTCTGATAAGGGCAATTTAGCTGTTTCATTAAAATTTAAATGCAGAGGTCAGGGAGATAGCTCAGTAGAATAAGTGCTTGCCTGGCAAGCACAAGGACCTGAGTTCAAACCCTGGCTCCGAAAAAAACAAAAAAACCCCAGAAGAATGTAAAATTTAAATGCATACCATTTAAGTTAAAAAAAAATCAATATTTAAGAGTGATTCCCACAGTAATATATTGACAAAAAAGATGGAAAAAGACACCCAGTGGAGCATTTTTGTAATTGAAAAAAAAAAAAAAAAAAAGACACAAACCTGAGCATCAGTCAACAGAATTACTTAAATTACTTTTAAAAGAATTTACCTCAGTCTGAAATAAATTCCTTTTTTTTTTTTAATTTTATTTATTTATTTATTTGTGTGTGTGTGTGTGTGTGTGTGTGGCCAGCTCAGCCCACCAGGGGGCGGGGCTGGCTGGCATGTGGTGCTGGGGGATTGAACCGTGGTCCCTGTGCTTTGCTAAGCTTGTTCTAAGTAGGTGCTTTAGACCACTGAGCCATCTCACCAGCCCTGAAATAAATTCCTGATAGCCCATATTTTCTGTGAACATGTTAAGGTGTAAAAGGGAATTCTGCCTAGGCAGATGCAGTGGCCAGGGCTCAACCCCGGCACGCAGTGTCGGCCCCGCCCCCAGGGCACGCTGAGATAGCGATTGAAAATGGGCACTCGCCTGTAATCCCAGCTCTGGGGGGCTGAACACAGGCAGGTCACTATGAGCCTGGTCTATGTAGCGAGACTCTGTAGACCCTGTAGAAGCTGTACTAAAATACAAATAAATGAATGAATGGGAATTCTCAAAGTAACTACCTCCATCAAAATTATGCTGAAGTGATGTAGAGTGTGCCTAAGAAGAGTCACCTGAAGAGAAAACATTCTCTCAGGCTTTCACAGAGAGAAAATTAGTCCAGCAATGGCCGTGACTCATCCACATGGCTGACACTGACAAAGGATCTACAAACTGCGGTACAGGGTTTCAGGATAAATCCTGAGGGTACTTGACTGACCTTATCAGATACAAAAGTTACATTTCTTGCTATATAGGTCTTGCTTTATCTTGGTCTTAACCATCCAGCAGAAAAGTATAGAAACGAAGTATAAAAAGTAAAGCCATACTAATATACTGAGCTGTAAAAGGCTCAAGTCAACAACTTCAGACATTGCCAGTCTTAGGGAAAGCCCACTACTATTATACACTACTGGACTATATTGGAATATTTTGCTGAATTCATGCACCTACAATATTTAAATGACAATGGAATACCTTTCTGTCACAAAACTAAACAAAAAAGGGGGTTACAAATGAATGACCATTTTGTATCTGTATATTCAAAATCGGATCAATATACAGCTGCATTCTCTTAATTCAATGAATAGAGAGATTTGTTCTAATAGTGTTTGTGGACAGGATATCATGTCTGCATCTTGTACAATGAATAATCACTAAGATAACAATATGTAATGTATTAATTATTGAAACTGTGCTAGTAATCGGATTTAAAACTGTCTCATTGCTATTTGTTTCTCAATAAAATTATTTTGAAAAATTATGATGAATACTGAAATGTGGGCCTGAGGTTATTGCTCAGCAGCAAAGCATGTGCTAGCAGGTGTGGTCCCCTGCACACAAACCCCACGACTATGTGCACTGGTCACAATACATGCAGTAAGTTTGTGCACATCTGGCCAGTCACCTACAGGTCACTTACTGGAAACGTTCCCACCTGCAGGTCACTTATTGGAAACGTTCCCACCTGCAGGTCACTTATTGGAAACGTTCCCACCTGCAGGTCACTTATTGGAA